TGTGCCTTCGCCATTTTGGCTTCTAGGATCAACTTGATTGCTCCAATCTGCTTTTACCGGCATACTATCATACGGCAGGTGTGCTCGTTTCTAAGCTACGTGCCTCCAATTAGTGTGCAAGGCTTCTTCGATGCTTCTGTGCCATCTCTTTGTAGCTCCTCCAAATGGTTGTTACCTCGTCGTGGGTAACTCTTGTTGATTTGTGACGTCCATCGGTGCTGGTAAGGCGGACGATTTACCTTGATTATAGGGCTTTACTTTGTGGAAATAATGAAATTCTGTGTAAAAAAACGGATGAGAACGTAAAAAAATCAAAATAAAGAAAAAAAAATATTACAAAAAAAAAGGCTTAATCAGTCTCATTCAGTTGATAATGTGGCATTTTTGCAGATGGATGAAGTGGCTTTGCAAGAAAATGTGGCCTATGTACAAATGACACATGTTGAACCGTACAAAAATGGCTATGATGTGTTAAGTTATGAGGCACACACTAATTTGCGCCAATTCGTTTACGAAATGTCGGTAATGGATGAGAAGGTGCCCCAGGATGAACCGAAACTGGCGCGACAGGCACTCAAACGTATCTTCGTAACAGGTATTTCTCACTTTTTTATTGACTTTTTTTTTTACTTTTTTGGGAGGCAGCCCGATCACTGTGCTTTATTATGATACCTTTCTCAGCTAGAGCACCGTACTTTCGATGCAGCTGGGTTGCACTAGATTTGAAGGGGTCAGTTCTGCATGAATTATTGTTGCTTTACACCTACCTTGTGCGCCCACTAGCGCAAATCACCATAAATTTTGCATAAAGTAAATGAGCATGCCTTAACCTCTTCATGTTTTGTGTGATCGAAACTGGTATATATTATCCGTTGGTCATTGTACTGAAAAACATTCATTTCCCTGCTGTCTTTCTTCGTTTTTGGATATATTAGAATTAAATTTCCTCATTTTGCAGATATCGTATCTAACTTTATGCATTAACTTTTTTTTTTGTGTCTGTAACATGTAGAGGTTTAGGAGCTTTAATCTTATAGGAATTTTTAAGGGATTTTTTGAATCGCTGTTAGAGGTAGCCACATGGCGACCGGTCTTGCGTTTGCGCATAAAAATGCTTTTTTGTTAAGTATATTTGAATTTAAGCTAGAAAGTTCTTATGACCGGCCAAGATTTCTTAAGCATTTTGGATTCATTGCTTAAATTAGTCTGCTACAAAGCAGTTCGAAGCGGTTTCTTTAAAAACGAGTTTATCATTTTA